CCATCTGGGCAGTGCAGACGACAGATGGGTCATGGAGAATGACAGCAGACTATTGAAAACTCACTCAGGTAGTGACTGTGGTTACAGCTGCTGTACCAGATGTGGTGTCCTTACTTGAGCAAATTATCATATCTCCTGGTGTGGTTCTCAAGTTTGTTGTGGGTCCTGGGATCTGCCTCTCTTTGCCTACTGGTAGTGTTTGGACTCCACCAATACACCAGCAGGACAGAGTCTGGGACAGGGAATCTGCAGCCCACATTTCCCTTTTGTGGTGTGAGAATGCAGCTACACACCAAACTGGAGGGGAAGGCAGGTCTGGGATGAATGCTATAGTTCCAAGGCCACCTCTCAGGGTGCCCGGAGAGAGGAAGTCAGTAATGGGGTCTGAGGTCTGTGTCTCCTTAGGGCACAAGAGCATTGCTGCATGCCACTTGAAGGGGGGAGCGGAGCTGAGACAGCAGGGAGTGCCGAGTGTCAAGTGCCTGCTGGAGGCTTTCTTCCAGAGGCTTAGTGTTGGGGTTCTTTTAGGTGAAGGCCTTCCCCATGGCAATCTTTAATGAAACAGGTCTCTGAGATGACCTTAGCTTGTTCATATTTCTTTTTTTTCATAACAAAAATTTTTATTTAAGTTTGGTCAGTACAGGTGAGATATACTAGAGTCACAGGGCAATATGCATTAACGGGACACAACAGTTCATAAAAACTTAGTAACTATGCACACAGATTTCTTAAACATTCGGTCACCTAAAGATGAATGCACAGATGTATGATGGAATAACTTTATCTAACGCTGAAACTACTATAGGACTCCAAGTCCAACTTTTAAGTGATAAAAACTACTGTACTGGGCAAACTCGGCAGTCCTAAACCCACATCTACTCTAACAAGTCTGAATGGTGCGTGAGTAACAACAGCGTGAGGAAGAGTGCCCTGACAGCACAGGTTCCAGATAGACAGATTTATACAGACATCATTGCTATAGATTCCCTTTACAACTTCACATTAACTCATATAAAAATAACCTGACCCTACACAAAATGTCCTTTTAGCAACGTTCAAAGTAATTAACTGTTACAATTTTCAAAGTGGCAGAGGTATTGAAGCAATTAAAAAAAAAAGAAAAGGAACCAAACCAAACAAAAACACACCCACAAAAAGGTAAATTGTGACAAAAGTATACATTAATTTTTGACAGTATCCTCTCCCCAATTAAATGACACTGTATAAAAATTTGCTGGAAAAATATTACAAAACCGAACCCTGTACATTTACATTTGAGTCCAAGCCATTCTGAACATGGCGGGAACCCACAGTTCGATTACCTTTCCCACTCACTGCTTTCTCCTCTTGAGGGTCATGACTGGAGCCTGTGTCATTTGAGTGATGTGTGAGAGAGTTTTCACTGCCCGTGGAGAGTCTACACTTTCATAGCCCGCACTGAGTGGGTTTATGTAACTACTACCTCCTCTGCCAGTTCTCTCCTCTGAGCTGTTGGAGGCCTTATTACCATTCTCTGAAGAAGAAGGAAAGTCATCCTCAGGTGTGCTCCCCTCCCTGTGAAATCCAGATCCAGACGTCCTCTGGCGGGAGGAGCTGCCATTACTTGGTCCATTTGCCAGACGACTGCAGTCTTTGCTTGTGGCTTCTACCTGATCTACAGGTTCAGAAGATGTAGTCCTGCTGGTGCCTGGAGCCGAAGCTTGAGACTGCTGCTGCTGGTACTATGCCAACTGCTGTCGTGTCTCCTTCAACCGTTGCTGAAGAACTAGAATGGTGCCCTGCATACCCTCCACTTCTTCATCAAGTTGAATGATGAAATCACTCAGTTCATCCTGACTGCCTTTAAGCTCCTCACTATATTTCTTCTGTAAAGCCAGTTCTGCTTCAAGCTGTGCAATACGGCCCTGGGACAGCTGCCTTCCAAGCTCTTGGTTCTCCTGGATAAGCATTCGACACTTTGCCATTAACTTTTTGCCTGTTTGGCTATCAGGCGTAAACTTCCAGGCACTCAGTTCATTTTGGGCTTGTTCCAGTTTGTCTTTAGTCTGTCCAGTTCACCTTTCATTTTTAGGAAAAACAAGTTGATTGCTGGGTCTACCATTGTTGATCTCAGTTGGGCCACACTCGGCTGCTGAACTTGCTTGAGGTACTGGATTTGAGTAGTGCACTCTTGCATCTCCTGCTTCTTGGTTGCTAGCCGCATGACAAGAATGTTCTCCCTTCGTGCAGACTCCTGCTGTTGCTGCTTTAGTTTTTCTTCAGATTCCCTTAAGCCAGTCACATCGTTTGAATTAAGATCTGTGTATTTTCCCTCCAAAGCTTGAACATATGCTTCATATTGTTTCCATCTTAGAATTAACTCATCCCGTGCCATAACTTTGAAGTCTGTTTCACTCAGTCGGACCTTTTTAGGAAGAGGTTCTTCGTTGGTCATCTTGCACCCCGAGAAGCGCCTCGCGGGCATCGCCTCGGTCACCGCGCCGGGCGCCTCTGGCGGCAAGAGAGCGAGGGGAGGCCGGCCCACTGGAGCCTCGGGGTGCGGAGAGGCAGCGGTACTCCGCAGGCGCCTGCCCCCCGGGGGCTCTGCAAGCTCAGCCGGGCTGGGGAGGGATGTTCATATTTCTTTACTGGCGGTGGTTGTGAACACATACAATTTATTCAAGTGAACCTGGGATTATATAATTTGGGGGAAGGGCATGGGAATATCCAGGAAGGGAAGGTCATTGGCTGAAGGCTAAGACTATTGAGATGCTTCGTTAACATGGAGAGGAGTTCCAGGTGCTGCATTCCGTGGCTGACTCCTCATGGGCCCCTCAGTTTGGGGCCGTTGTCACATGTTCCAGAGCAGGCAGAGAGGGCAGGGAGGGGGCAACTCGACTCCTCCCGTCTAAGATCTCTGAGATTCCCAGGGTTTGATCACACCCCACCTCAGCAGTTCTTATGCCCGTCTGATAGCACAGCCCATGTGCCCTATAGCCTGGTACATGGTACACAGCTATTGATCTAGCAAATGCCCTTTGCTCAGTGCCTGTCCATAGGAGCCACCAGAAGCAATTCACTTTGAGTTGGCAAGGCCAACAGTATACCTTTATAGTTTTATCTCAAGGATTAATTAACTATCCAGCCCCATGTTGTAACTTAGAAGCGATCTTGATCGTTTGTCTCTTCTAGAAACTATCCCATTGGTGCACTGTATTGATGACATTACGCTGACTGGACCAAGTGAGCGGGAGGCAGTAACCACTTTGGACTTGTTGGTAACACATACGCTCCTCAGAGGATGGGAAATAAACACAACTGAGATTCAAGGACCTTGAATCTTGGCCATGGGCTCATCTCCTTCATGCAGCCCTCTAGGAGCAGATAGAGGTCTCTGCACGTGATGATCAGATACCCACTTCCTGCCGTTCCTCAGGACAGCCATTATTCTGATTCCCAAGTATAATGACAACTGGACAGGATCGCTAGTCTTCTTGGAAACAACCCTCAAGAATGCCTGTGAAGGAGTTTCTAGATTGAGCTCATTGAGACAGAACACTCACCGTACATCTCGGTGGCAGCATTCCATGGGCTGGCTCCCAGATGGAATAAAACAGTGAGTGAGGTGGATGGGCACCACCGTCCCCCTCTCTCCGCCTCCTGAGTGACAGCTGCCTCAGGCCCCTGCTGTTGCTCCCTCCCCACCACAAGGAACCTTGCTTATGTGACCCAAAATAAACCCTCTCTTCCTTAGGCTGACTTTGCTGTGAGACAGGCTAGACTGACTCCATGACAGGCTTCAAATTGGCAGTTCAGGAGACTAGGGCTAAACCTTTGTTTCCAAGAACTGGATAAGTCCAGGCCTCAGAAGCTGCCCCCTCACCTGGCCTAAGACAAGGACACTGGGTCAGCAACAGTTTCCAGCCCATCACACCCCAGCAATAGTTCTGGAATGTCCCTAGAGATAGAGGCAATGGTTAAAATAGAAATCACCTCCCCCTCCCTGGAATTTCCCTACTGTGCTTTAAATCAGCCCTGCAAACTCACTGGTGTGTCTCCGTCTTGGTAATGGGAGACCCCAGCATGCTGGACTTCTGCAGAATAAAATGGTCTTTGATTTTGCTTACTATTTGAATCTGGCATATCATTCTTTGGCGAATCATGGGTCCCTACAGCTGCAGGTACAAGAAAACTACACGTGGGTGGCTTCCTGCACATCTGTCCGTGCTGTGGTTCAACAGGCTGCACCAAATGATCCAAAGTCAGGGCTGTCTGGGAGTGCCAGGTACCTTCCACCTGGCCATTCTGCCAGCTGGCCAGTCCTTAGACAGTGACTCAGACCCACCTGGCCCTGCTGTCCCACAGCCAGAGTGCTCCAGGGAGAGACTGCCTCCTAAGAAATATCTTAAAGTAGGCCACTAGGCTCCTATATGTGTGCATGGGTGAGTGGGCATGTGTCTGTGTGAGTGTATGTATGTGAGTGATCCTGTATACGAGCACGCATTGCACACAAGTGCATATGAGTAAACACATGTATGTTTGAGCACATGAGCATGTGCATGTTCATTATGTCTGTGTATGTGAGTATGTGTTAGAATCTGTGTTTGGTGCTGAGTATTTTGTCACTTGTGTGGATACAGTGTTCACATCTCTCTGATGCAGTCTAGGAGGGTTACTCCCAGCCCACAAAACACTGTAACTTCTATCCTGTGTGTTCACCAACACATGAGACAGACCCTTATCCCAGCTGGGTTGCTATCACTAGTAGTTCCCCAGGGAATCTAGTCCCGAGGTGGTCAGACAGGGGCTCAGCCCCTCATTTGAAGACTACCAAGCCTTACAGACCCTGTCTCCATAGAACCTCATGGGCACGTGTGCGAGACTCTCTAAGAGATGACTCTGGGGCTAGTCTCTTGGACAATCTGAGGGTGATCTTTTACTACCATGGAGTCCTGTTCCCAAGAAAGGATCTCGAAGTGCCAAGTGCTATGTCCCTAAACACATGCCTGTCTTCATTCTGGAACCAAAGGAGGAACTTTATTTGGCAAAAGTCTTCATACATGAGGTAAGATCAGTTTGGATGCATGGGTGGCTTAAATCTAATAGCAGAGGAGGAAATGCAGACACAGAAGGCCGTGTGAAGACAGAGGCTGAGAGTATGGAGATATGACCATCATCAGAAAGAGGATGCCCAGTGCTGGCTCCACCATGCCTGGATCTCAGGTCTCTGAGGAGCAAAGCTGCAGAACAGTAAGCCCCAAGTTCCATACATACTGCACACAGCATCCAGGGTAGTTTCACAAGGCCAAGTTTCCCATTCTTCTCAGACACACTATGAAAGGCCCCCAGACCAATCCTGATTCTGAGAATACATCCCAGTCTTCTGCAAAGAGCTGGGTGTCCTTCGCTTCAGCAGGATAACCCAGTGATGAGCAGAGAGAGTATAAGTTAAGCTCTGTGATGTACAGCTCATGGTCACTCTGAGATGGACCTCCCCCAGCTTCTAACACTGGCCCCAGGCTACCCTGTCCCGTTCCCAACATTCTGGAGCTGCTTCTCTTATACCCAAACCAAAATTCACATACCAGAAGGCCTGGCTGGCTCCTCTAAGGTTTATAAAAAGCAAAAATCTGGGGAGACAAGAGGATGTCAGATGGCTTGCTGAGCCTCCCCCTGACCCCCAACCCCAATCCTCAAGGCACACCAGGCTGTAAGCTGCCTTCTCTGAGTCAGAGAAGGGAGTCCTACCTTTCTTTGTCATGTCGATGATATTTTGTGAGCCCAGCCCATACAGTTTACAGATGTTTTCAAATTCTTCTTGGTAAGTCTTGTCAAGCTGTGTGAAGCGCTCTGGGGACAAATTTGGGACTTTTTGTTGGGGGAGCAGTCCCAAGGCACCATTCCATAATGTGTCTAGGGGCCATGGGAGATGGCCTCCCAGTGGGTGGGATTCCCAAGCAGATAGGGCTGTGTTACCATAGAGCGCCAGCACTTGGGTCTCGGTCCCATTCTTGATGTTCTGCATGTAGAAGATGATATACATTCTGTAGTCAGTCTCCAAGAGCAGCACCTTGTTTTCCCCCTCATCTGCACAGAGATACAGCTTAGCACACCCTCTGCCCTGGCACTGGGATACCCCCTTACTTCTGCAATGAGTGCCATTTGACGTATGTAGCTTCTGTTAAAGCAAGCATCGGAAGGAGTGAGAGCTCGATGCCCAGTGCTAGCTCAGGAGACTGTGGTGTGGAAGTGTAGACAGCAGGGTATTCTAGCCCTGTCTGTGCCTTTGTGTGCCGCCTCCACAAGCCTCAGCACAATACTCTGGTTATGTGGTAGTTCCAAGCTAGCAATGTCCAGAGAGGGCCAGGCGCAGGGCTCTTGAGTTGTACCTAGGCTGGTGGGCAGTGCCTCAGCAGAAAAGACTCATGGCTATCAGATCAGAAAGAACAGGGTCCCACTCACAGGCAACGGAGAATTCCCCATTATTCTTAGTCTTCTCACAGACGATGGTCACAGCTACACATTCTCCTTGCACCCTGGAGGACAGTGAGGGCAGAGGCTCAGAGCAAGCACCAGCCCCTTCCCCCTTACCTTGGCTTCTGTGACCACTCTGGAAGGGGCCTTTCAGCTTCACACACTGGGAGGAGCACAGAGCACAGCAACAGGCCAGGCACCCCCCCACACCCCATTATGCTGATCTTCAGGGAGAGCTGGCGATGTCCACACACTGGCCCAAGTGTGCAGATGTGTGAGTGGATGACGTTCCTGTGGAGCATGGGAACATATTCTCCCCTAGTTTCAGCTTAGGGGCAATACACACATGAAGTGGAAGTCAAACTGCAGGCTGCCATTATTTAAGAGCTTGATGTTCCGGATGAAAAGTCTCAGGTCTCCGTTTTCTTCAATGCGTGTCATGTTATCTGAGGCCATGGACTTGAGGTGCCAGATCCCAGAAATCTGGAAGGAAAGGCTGAGTGGTGGGAGTCCTGTACCACCCCTGGGGCTGCTTGGCCTTCACGGCTTCACTCCTGGGTGAGCCCCTAAACACTAGCTCTAAGCTGGGACTTCCTGCTGTCTCAGCCCTCCCCCTGCACCATTTCTCCAAAAGCTCCTTCTGCACCCTCTGGTTGACATCATGGCTGGGAAAGTGAGGGATTCTCATAGTCCAGACATTCTTTTTCCAGGTCAGGCCCCCAGTAAAGTGGGACATGTTCTCTTCACGAAGCCTGGCCTAACCCTAGAAGGCTCTGCTCACCCTGGCCAGGTTGTAGTTTCTCCGCACGGTATTCTGCAGGTTGAACTGCGCAGTGGCCAGACTCAGTGCCAGGCCCAGCACTAGCAGTAGTACCATTCTCCCTGGTGGACACGTTGGCTGGCATTTCCCTTATGCCCCTTTCTGCTCTGTGGTTGTCAACCTGTCCACGCACATCCTGTGCCCGGTTGGAAGGCAGCCAAAGGTTCCTATTTAACTGGTCACATTCTAGAGCTGGCCACACAACCCACATGAATTGATGTGAAGCTGGGTCAGAAGGTGATAGGGGAAGTTGGAACCAACAGGGTTTGGCTATCAGGTCCCTGGACCCAGGCCAGCCCACTGAGACATGTGGGAGACTCTGAGTCTTTGTTCTGTGTGTCTAAGCTCAGGAGTTAAAACTCAGAGCCCCAGTGTTTGAGTCCTGATACCTGGCCTCAGTGTTTTTGTTTGAGGCCTTTGGCTCCACACAAGCCATCTGCATGGCTTGCAGTTAAAGCTGGCAGCAGAGCCAGCCACCTTGCCTGGAGGATCTCACTGAAATTAAACTGTGGCTACAAAACTCCAGGAAAGACCCTGAGTGAGACGGTACTCATGTCATCAGTCCCTGTGGTGAGGGGTCCTGAGAGAACAATGTTCTGGAGTTTGAGGGTACAGTAGTTCAGGAACACAGACACAGGGTCAGATGTGTTCCCTTTCTGGCTGGAGACCAGCTGAGGAGGTGGTGGTGAAATGGTCGTGGAACCGTCTGCACGGTTCCACCAGGTGCACCACAGCACTCAGCTCCCACTGCCTCCGGGTGTCAGTGCGTCGGTGGCATTGAAAGAAAGACTCTTCTGAATGAATGAATAAGGCTAAGCTTGACAGCCAGAGCCAGAAGAGCTCAGCACCCTGGCAATCCAGAGGGCAGATACCCGCTGGCTGCCACTTCCCTACGTGGGTAGTTCTGCCATCTGTCTGCCCAGACTGTTATGGTTCTGAGATAAAAGATGGGACCCCAACGGTCCTCAGGTACCAGGCAAGTATCAAGCATTGTTAAAACCACACACAGTTAATATCAATGATAGGTTGTTGAACATCTAAGCATTCTTTCTGTGGCTCATTTTCCTATAAAGATGTTAGGACAGGGCATATAACTCCAGTGCTGTTGAACTCTTCACTGCCTCTACAGCTGCTTTGAGCAAAAGGACTGTCAGGCCAACCACTTATATTACTCCACACAGGCTGTTGTGACTCTAGCCCCTAAGCTTTAGCTCAACCCAGGACTGTTTGTGCTGGACTTTTTCCTGCCACAAGCCTTAGGGTACTCCTGGTGAGTCCACATGCCTGGTGGCCTAGCAGATGGACTGCTGTGGGTCGTAGAAAAGAAACAATGCTGTTGATTGGTACAAACACAAACCTTCATTTGCATAATAGCTCTGCTATGACTGGAACGAAGCACCCCAATCACTGGATTGATGGCTGTCTGACACACAACCTCCTTTGCCGCCTACCCTGGTATTGCAGCATCTGGCTGAGTAAAATCTTTCTCTTGAATGTGGCTTTTGTTGTTGTTTGTAAGTTTGTTTGAGACAAGGTTTCGTGTAGCCAAAGATGACCTTGGTCGTCTTGCCTCCGTTCCCCAACTTCTGGCATTTTGGGCATATGCCACCACGTTGTTTGACTGGTCTTGTCTCTAGTCAGTGAGGGTAGAGCTCAGTCGCACAACAAGAGAAGCAGGAGAGGACATCAATGGGATCAGACGCAGGAGGGCTGACACACCAAACTGCAGAAGTGGCAGAGCAGCCAGCCACTTCACACTCTGTGACTGCTGCTGAGCAGTGTGCAGGCCAAGCTACAGAACCATCAGAGCCTCTGCCTGCACAGACACCTGCAAAGCAGCCACACATGTTGGTGGGTAGTGGCCAGCAGCAGCAGCACCAGTAGCAGCTTCCTTCCCCCATGGCCACAGCTATGACAGTGGCCATAGTAACAGGAGGCCCCGCACTATTTGAGGGCTCGGGATAGTCAGAAACAAGAGAAGAAATGGAAGCCAAAGGACGATGGAGGGCTGAAGCTGAAGAACAGAAAGCTGTAAAGAGTCAGGGAAGAGTTATCTAAGTCTATGGGCACCAGAACGTTCATAAGAGCTACCAAGACTACAGGACCGAGTGCCTGAGACATCCCTGGACTGGGAGCTGGGATGCTGCCCGTTGTCGGGAGCTCAGAATCCTTACTTTATAAACTACACAAAGCTATAATGCTGGAAGGATTTTAGGGTCTGGCTACCTACAGCTACCCAAGAGCTGAGACACTAGAGGGCACCACCAGCTGATACTTGCTTTCTCTCACTGCTGTGGAATACCAGAGAAACAAAGTTGCCAAGGTCAGCCCTTGAACTACAGAGTAGAGCAAAAGGACCCCAACTGGATTATTTACAGCAGGTCCAGACATCCGAAAAAGGTGCGTGCCATGGCTCATCTTGAGGGAAGGAAGGTGAGTGGGACAGGGCAATGGTTTGTTCCCTGTGTGCACAGCCATAGATGCTCCAAGAGTATGCAGAAGCCCATAGCCCCCTCTGCAAGTTTCTGTGGCCCTCTCCCAGGCAAGCCCAGGTTTTCTGTCAGAAGATGGAGTAGATCAGTTGCATCCAAAGGGACTTTCAGAAAGGAAAAGAATCATGCTTCAGGGAAGTAATATGTGAGCATCTCTCTCTTCCTAGAAGAAAATGTCAAAGCTTTCCTTCGAGGTCTTGTGAGAAGTCTCTCAGTGTAGAGAGTTCAGCTGCTGGTGGGTGTGGGGAGATTTGTTTGTGGTGAGAGAGCATGGTGTGACAAGTATTCGTGTGGGTAAGCATTCCCTTCGTACGGTCACAGAGGTTCCTCCACAGCCTCTGTCACACAAGTCTGCTATATCCCTTCTCATCCGACACCAAGGAATACAGGCATCCTGTGTCTGCTTTAGGCAAGAGCAGATAGGGACAGGTCCAGCTCAAGAGTCAAAGGTGCATGCAGTGATAAGTACAAGCAACTGCAGGAGATTCGGGAATAGGAACTGCAAAGGAAGAAGTCAGTGAACTTCTGTTTGTAGATGATATGACAGCATGTATAAGGCACTCCAAAAATTCTACCAGAGAACTGCGACAGCTGATAAACATCTTCAGCGAAGTGGCTGGAAACAAGATTAACTTTAAAAAATCATCAGTACTCTGCCCATAAACCAGTGAGGAAAGGACTGAAAAACACATCAGGGAAACAACACCCTTTGCAATAGCTGCAAACAATATAAAACATCTTGGTGTCACTCTTACCAAGCAAGTGAAAGCCAAAGACAAAAACTTCATAAGACAGAAACTTCAAGTCCATGAAGAAAGAAATTGAAGAAGATATCAGAAGATGGAAAGGTCTCTCACGCTCATGGATTGGTAGGATTAACATAGTAAAATGGCCATCTTGCCAAAAGCAATCTACACATTCAATGCAATCCCCATCAAAATTCCATCACAATTCTTTGTGGACCTTGAAAGAACAATTCTCAACTTCATATAGAAAAACAAAAACCCGGGATAGTCAAACCAATACTGAACAATAAAGAAACTTCTGGAAGTATCACTATCCCTGACTTCAGGTTATACTACAGAGCAGTAGTAATAAAAACTGCTCAGTTTTGTTACAGAAACAGACACATTGATCAATGGAATAGAATCAAAGGCCCAGAAATAAACCCACATACAAATGGACACTTGATTTTTTTTTAACAAAGAAGCCAAAAGCATACAATGGAAAAGGGAGATGATCCAACAAATCATCTGGTCTAACTGGATATTGGTGTGTAGAAGAATGCAAATAGATCCATATTGATCACCTTGTACAAAACTCAAGTCCAAGTGGATCAAAGACCTCAATGTAAAACTGAATACACTAAATCTGATAGAAAAGAAAGTGGAGAAGAGCCTTGAATGTATTGGAGCAGGAGACAGCCTCCTGAACAGAACACCAATAGCACAGACATTAAGATAAGAATCAATAAATTGTTGAATTTATGAAACTCATGAAACTGCAAAGCTTCCGTAAGGCAAAGATCACCATCAACAGGACAAAAGGACACCAACAACAGGACAAAAAAAGGCAGCCTACAGAATGGGAAAGGAGCTTCACCAACTCCACTTCTGACAGAGGCCTGATATCCAAAATATACAAAGAACTCAAGAAACTAGACACCAAAAAAAAAAAAACAAAAACAAAAACAAAAACTAATATAACCCAATCTTTAAAATGGGGTATAAATCTGAACAGAATTCTCAACAGAGGAACCTGAAACACTTAAAGAAACAGTTGACATCCTTAGCCATTAGGAAAATGTAAATCAAAATTACTTTGAGATTCTGTCTTACACCCATCAGAATGGGTAAAATCAATAACACAAGAGACAGCTCATGCTGGGAACAATGATGAGAAAGGGAAACAGTCCTCTCTTGATGGTGGGAGTACAAACTTATACAGCCACTATGGAAATCAAAATGAAGTTTCCTCAAAAAATTGGGAATCAATCTACCTCAAGATCCAGCTATACCACTCTTGGACATATACCCAAAGGAAGCTCCATCTTGCCACAAGTTGACCAGGCCAGATCAGTCAGTCAACAGGGTCTCAAGGGAGGGAGTGAGGTTTGAAAAGAAAAAGACGATTAGAAGACATTATAACATGTCTCCAGCCAGTGCTGAAGCTGAAGTGGACTTACTGTTCTCCCATCTGCTTTTATACCATTCTAGGTACATGCAAAGAATAAGGTCAGTTCTAGGTCAAGAAACAAACAATGCAATAAACAAAAATAGTCAAGGAACAAACAAGGGAATAAACAAAGTCCCATGGTATTCAAGAAGTTATCAGGATGATCAAAATCTTGAGCCTACTTCCTTGTCCTAGCCCAAAGTCAAATTCTTACCTGAGCCTACTTCCATGTCCTAGCTCAATGTCAAATTCCTGTCAAACTCCTAGAAGCAGCACCAAGAGCTCTCCACACCTCCTCCTTTTATTTCATAAATAAGACTGCGTATGTCTTAGGTTGTTCCGACAAGACTGACTTCCTTACCTGTCGTGAAATA